CATTGTTCTCTCGTCTGCCGGACATCTTTACGTGGAAGAATTAGAAAAAGCCAGACGTGCTGACGGAGCTTCGTATTTTATGACAACAACACTTCAGTTACCAACAACATCTAGTGCCATTTCCATGCATTATTCCACAGAAACTCGATTTTTATTCGTTTCTATGGAAAGTAAGCTTTGCTGTTTTGATGACAAAAGTTTTTAAATACATCTCTATATGAACATAATAAATTGGTTTATATGTCAATCATTAGTCTTTACCCTATAATTTATTTTTTTTATTATGCTAAATATATCTTTCTTAGGTAAATTTTCTTTCAGATAACACTTATGTATTGCACTTCAGTGGTACAGAATTTGGAGAAGCTAAAGATCTTCCATTCGACTTCCCGCTAACGAATTGGTGTGAATGCGCTGGAGTCTTTGCAGCTCTCTCGCATCCATCATTTGCCACTTCTATTTTCCTCTACCCATATGGCAATACTTTATATACACAGACGAAAACTCTATCTGATCCCGCAACAGCTCAGTGCATGTTTCTTGGCTCGGATTGTGTATCTCAACTTCTCATACAAATTCTGGCAAATCAAAATCTGCAACTCTTTCGAAGGTTATCATTACTTTTGCAATGTGAAATAGTCAAGATTTGAAATGCGATGCTATTAAGTGGAATTATGATGTCGAATACTTTATTGAGCATGTGCTTCAAGTTCTCAGAAAAGTATTCAGAAACATCGACAAAATATTTATAGTACATTGAAATATTTATCATTTAAACTATCCTAACCAATGGGAAGTCAGAATTAGTTTTTTAAATGTAAAATTGTTTCAGAACAGATTGCTTAACAGTAATCGCGCATTTTGGTTTTTTAAATAATGATAGTGACACATAGGGATCCTATTTTCGTAAGGCAAATACTTGTATTTTGCTCTTCTCTTGGAAATGTTGAAAAAAATAGAAATTTCAGTTGTTGGTTAATGGAGCCCGATTTCTGGATGAAGGACGTGGAACGTTCAATGTTGGAAACAGAAGTAAGACCTTACACCGTTATGGAGGATGATATACCAGAACCAGATATGGTCACGGTATTTGAACAATGCCGTCCAATCCAAAAATTGGAATTCTACAGTAAAACACTTGAACACGTTTATGACACTGCTGAACTAACAAAAAGAATTACTTCTTCCGGAATGAGCGCTGTTTGTTTGAAGGTATGTTCTACCCTTTTTTTCATTTTTGTTGCATTGTGTGCAATTTGTACGAGTGAGTAATAGATAAAGGTAAATCTTCGAGTTAAAGAAAGCAAAATATTTGAAAAGCTTGATTTTTTCCTCGAATTGAATATTGGTTGTAATCTATCCGATGCTGTAGTATGTAATCTCTATTCTCTTTTGAACATCTAACATCTGAATGGAAACAAATTTGGTTGAGTAGGAGCATAAAACTGAATTTTTGTTGTGAGATTTTCTATGGATTTCAGCAAAGAGAGTTCGAAATTGTGGTGAAGAATCTAGATTGGAATTGCATCATATGCGCATTACGCATCCAAGTAACACCGGACAAGTGTCCAGCAAGTGTCATGGTTTTTGGCAAAAAGATCAATCTACAAACAAAGATATCACGAATGTTTGATATACGTTTGACTCGAAAGCAATCTATCAGTTGGTAAATTTTCTTTCAAGTTACTAATTTGTTTTCTTGTTTATAATCTTTCCATAGTATTGATTTTAACATATAGAGCCGGAGCTGCAGATGTTAACAGACTTTTTGTTTCTACTGTCATTAACTGCTTATTAGTGCTTTTTATAATCATGCCAGACGTTTAAATGTACTCACTTTGACAGTTCGCGCATATCACTATATCAGGGAACGAAACAGATGATACTGCAAAAGTGAGGTGGAAAATATTTGCGAAAAAGCTTAAGAAGATTTAAAAGTTTGAAAGTCCTGCTGTTTACTGCCCATCTTTCAGAGTATTCCAACACTGTTTGTTGGTTCAGAATTATAAGTTTCATATTTCTCTAATCCACGTGTAACGGGGAATAGGTATCAATGCTCTTTCAAAGCTCGTAGAGACCATTTGCATTAAATCATGACCGTTTGAATCGTCTTTTGAAGGCATTTTTTTGCGCTGTATAATTTTAGTCAGTTCAGTCTGTATATTTAAACGTACATTACTTTTACTGCTATATATTAAATCAAAACCGGACGTTTGGGACCACTTAGGCGATAAACAGCTAATTAATGCTGAATTTTACTCACAATTTCTTTATTACTTATGTACAGTTGTATATTTGCAGCAACAATGAAGTGACTTTGAATTTCACTTGTAATAATATACCTGCACAAATTTGGTCGATTAAGGTAAATTCTCGTTCATTTATTTCGATTAAATTTGAAAAAAATTATTCTTTCTGATTTATAAAATATTTTAATATATAATCTCAGATTTAATTGAGCTTTTAATCTTTTGCGATGGATTATAGAATTTTTAGGTTTTCGGCAAAACGAAAAAAGATTTTGGTTTTCCCACGGCTTCTTATCGTTTTGACCAAATTATTACTCTCCCCGAGCAACTAGTTGCTTCATTTATCTCTACATGCTGCAAACTGCATTCTTGTACTAAATGGAAGGTTATCTTTTCTTTCAATTTCATTTTTTATGAGAATGATATTTATAAGTTGTGTGATGTTTTTTAAATTAATGGTCTCTTTCATGAATTAATTCAAAAATTGTTTTCTACTTAGCTTTAATTTTGGAAGTATATCATGATCTTCTTAGTCCAATTTTTTATTCTCTCAAAACTAAGTTAGTATAATTTTTCGGTCCACAACTTTATCATGTTTTCAGCGCATGGATTGGCTTCTACCACTTGCACTAAAGTTTACAGCTCCGGACTTTGAGCATGTTACAGTGAATCATCGAGCACTAATCTTGTTGAGGCATTTGTCACTTACAGCTTCATCATTTCTCGAACAAAAGGTTATTGAAACAGTTTTGACTTACTAATGTCTATCTAGCTATTCTTCTTTGGAAATATGAGTCTGAAGTTGCTGACCGCATTTCATTAAATCTCTACCTGGCAGTACTTGCAAATCGGGAAGCTGGTGGACATCGAAGTATTTATGCTATTATTTTAACAGTGTCCAATATGATTAGAAAGGTCGTATATTCACGACCATAAAGATAAGGTAATATGATTTTGTTAACAAATTTTACTCCATTTTAACAATTTTAGGACGCGGCTTTATTTTCATCACTGATGAACCATCGAAATGCCGGAACCTTACAACTATCACTTTTCAACGCCTTTGCTACTCAGTTGAAAGTGATGACTTTGCATCGTGTGGTATCTTTTCACCAATTAATTAAGAAACGTTAGTTTTGTTTCATAAATTTATTTTTTATATAGAAATTAGTTTCGACGCTAATTTTAACATAAGATGCTAAAAAAAATTCACTCTTTTTGATTCTTTTCGAAAATAGTTATAATTCTTTATTTGGGGATTTGGTAACACAGTTTTTTACTAGTCAATAAAAGTAGAAAAAATAGAATAGAAATGAACTAACATATTGGAAGATTTATTATTATTTTTCTGTGCAGTGAATTTATTTTGTATATTTTTATGTGCATTAGCAATGCTAATGGTAATTTTTCTTAGGCATTAAAAATAAGCAACATGTTGGCAGCAAATTTAAGTATTAAAAATAAAAAGAGCATTGTTAATTGTCATCATTTTTACCAGTAAGCAAACAGTGCAAAAGCATCGAATGCGGTCTTTAAAACAATACAAATATAAATTTATTTTAAAACGGTCCTGATATTTATTTTATTAATTTATTGTTTAATATTGCTCGTCTTATTTGGTTAAATAGATCAAGGCTTACTTATTTTTGGATCAAATATCGAGATGGAAAATATTGAAAATTAATTTCGACATTTAAGGCATCAATTTCATGATAAGAAATTGTTATAAATTGTTTTTTGAGATTCAGAAGGGTTATTGAATGGAGTCAAATCACTAAATACTGGTGATATTTAAAAAACTGAAAGTGAACTGGGAGAAATGATTGTTATTTTGAACATCTTCTGTTTAACATACTAGTTATGATGGTAATAATAAAGCTTTACTATTCCACAAAATAAAAATTCATATATTAAATGAAATATTAAGTTTCTAAAGAAATAATGGTATGAAAAATAGTGAAATATTTAAGCGTGGACTAAAAATTTGAAAATGAAGTAAAAGAATTAGACTAAAAGGTAATAAATTTAATCAGAAAATGCCAAAAATAAGAAAGGCAGAAATGATTTAGATTTCGGTGATATACTTCCTTTCTTGAAAATGTGTGCTGACTTCGTTTCTTCGATTTCTTCGAATGATTTTACTGCGGATGCAGTGCTGGAACAGTTTTTGATATCTGCTTTTGTGTACCTGGCTATAAATGTGGAAAATTCGGCAGAAATAATGCGACTTATCTTGGAAATATTGTTCTCGGATGTTGGTTTTAAAATTTTTTAAGTACTTCTACTTTTCAAAATGCTTTAAAAAGTATGAAATTGTGAGGGATTATTTAAACTTTCTAGGCTCGTGATTTACAATCGATGTTGTCTAAAAATAGTAGTTACATTGTTATATTTTATTGGTTCTTATATTTCTAAAGATTTTTTAATTCCAGAATATAGTTATTGCTCATCGGTGCAAATGTTTGATTTCATCAATAATTTCGAACTATTGCATTGCAAATGTACAGAATCATAGTAATTTATTCTCTTTTATTGGTGCGCTTACACCTACAACTTTAATGGACAAAAGCATGACTTCTGAGGGACTGCAGATGGGTATTATAAGCCAAGGTGCTAGTGGAGGATTGAAGCCGGTGATTATTGATGAACTTGCAAATCAAATAAACAAGGAGAGAGGCATCCTTGTTCAGTTCAAGTTCTCATCCGATTTAGAGGATTTTAGCAGAAGTAAATTTTCTTGCTTCTTTTCATAGATTATTTTTTCAGTTCTCAAGCTAAGTAGAAAAATTTTTTCTCGACTTTCTATCTAAGCTATGCTGCTAAGTGATGGCATAAAATGTTAGATCGTAGCCTCTAAAGCTTCTGATTAGCTGTGACAGTTCGGTGGTACTAATAACTTTCCATATAGTGACTCTCTTCAAGTTCGTTTTTGTTTTTTGAAAGCCAAATTTCATTTAAATGGTCGTTCCAGGATTATTTTGTTCTTTTAGTTCTTCAGTGCAATATCTTTTATGCCATTGACTAATTTGCATACATTTTTTGTTTTCTCAAATAAACACGAAAATATATTATATCGTTCACAAGGCCAAATTTGTTTTTGGTAAGCATATCATGTCATGATGTACATTAATCCTGCCTAATCTAATTTTTTCTTGAATTTTCTGAATTCCGATAAATGGAAATTTATACGGTAGAATTAATATTTATGTTCAACAAAAAGAATTGTTTTCTTGTTCTTCCAGAAATGGCCTGGATCGGGCAGTTGTTGTTAGCATTTGTCTCCCAACTCGATATTTGTAATTGTGATGGCGTACGCTGTTTGGCGCCAGCGCAGACAATACTTTTTTTGATGGGTCAGCATGCTCCAGATCAGCTAACTGATCTTGTAAGTAATTACTATATTTTAGAATTTAACATGGATATTTTTCGAAATCTGGGTGTATCGGCACATATCAGTGATTTCAGATCGATTATTTGATAAGTGGGCTAGACTTTAGCAAACTGCAGACAAAAAAAACGGTGAAAGCAGAACATAACCAAATTATCTTACGTCTAATATATGTTATCCTTGTTCAATGTACGTCACATAATTGGCCATCCAGAGGTAGCAGAAAGATAATCGATGAAGAGGTTCACCAAGTTACAAAACAAAAAAGTGAAGAAGTTAGTTTTTTAGTAGAGTGGCAGGATCTTTTGTTGTACCGAGAAAGCAATACTTTTTGTTAATGGTTGGAATGTTTTGAACATGTTTTGGAAAAACATTTTCATTAGAAACATTGAGGAATTCTTGATTTTGAAAATTTTGAAAGTAATTTGAAATTTATTCCGTGTTTGTTTTACAATAGGAAGTAAATTTATTTTATGATTTTAAAATTCCGTTCTCTTATAGCTTACTGCAGTATTAGATGCTGCGAATGTGGCAGCAATCGCACCGGCTGAAAGTGTTGATGATGGAGACGATGCAGAAGCCGCTGGGGAATCCGATCTGGAACAAATAGAAGGTACTGAACTTGCTGGTGATATATCGTCATCTAGTCGTGATGCAACACCGCAGCAGGATGATGCTGACATCTCGACAATGAATATTATTTCCCAAGTGGAAAATAAGGAACACGAAGATGCACCTTCAACTCCTGAGCCACAAGTTGCTTTGGCCCTGAAAGTTGCTCATACTTTAGTTAGTGTTGAACAAAGCTTTAAAAAAAGAATAGTTTATAGAGAAATTTCTTCCCTACCCGTTTGCTCATTGGTCGAAAATTGGTTTCGTGTGTAATTAATTGCTTTGTGACTTGAGCCTTTGAGCGAGTGAGTGGCGTACAAAGAGGTTGCTGGTGCAAACGTGAGAGAACTGGAGTAGATGGGCGTAGAAAAATTTTTACTTATAAAGATCAAAAGCTCGAACAGCGTTGGTTATAAGATTATTCCAAAATATTTTTCTTTTATTTTCATAAATTTAAATTCAAATAATTCAGGTGTCTATGGGAGCCCTGACTTATTGTTATTCCCTTTTGCAATCCTTAAAAACAGAGTGGATCAAACAAGTGCAATCTCCTGAACAAGGTATCCAGAAACTTTCTTCCATCCTACCAGAGTTACAACCTGATCTTGCACCATTATTCAATGCTCGTGTTTTGAATGTCAATCCAGCAAATGTATTTTCGATATACACAACACTGCTTGTCGAAATGGCACTTCGATTGCCTTATCAGGTAAATTTTGATTTTATATCTCTGTCGAAGGTTTGCGGTCTGCTTTTAAATCTGGATTGATATTATTTCAGATACATGTAGCAACAGTTTCCATTTTAAGATGAAATGAAACTTGCTCTCAATTAGAATATAATGTTCTCTGATTGCTATCATAGATGCAGTCTTTCAGACGAATTGTTCCACCTCTCTACTTAATCCATTGTTGTTCTTGATAGTGATAATGTGACCACACTGATTAAATGGTTTGGACTTAGATCCTTAAAGTAGCTAAATAAAATTAAGCTGTTTGGATGGTGGGTTTTTTTCAAAATGTTAGTAGATTACTTCAGTCTTCTTCCAGTCAGTGAAGTTAGTTCATTCTGCTTATCTTTTTGTGCGCTAATATAGGTTTGACAAAAAATGAATTGATTTTTTTTTTTGGCTGCAACTTTTCTGATGGTTAAATATACATCCGGTCATCCAAAATCAATTAAATAAGATGAGGAAGTGGTTCACTTTCAACTCATTTTCAGCTCAAAAAAATTTTGGGCGATGAGCTGCTGCTAAATAAGAAATGGGAGAATCTTTTATGTGATTACATTACCCAGGAACCATCAACAATGCGCAGACTTGCTCGGAAGCTACTTTTGTTAATGTGTGGTTCCGATACGGTAAATTGTTTTGTTTTGGACCTTGTTCTCTCACTTTCAAATTCATTTTTCGGTCAACCTTACTTTGTTTTTTACTGCTGGCATTCCACTAACAACTATACTTAAATGGATGTAAAATGAAGTCCATACTTTCATTTACTGAACCTTAATTATTCCATTATTCAACTGATTTAATTTTTTTATTTAAAGGTGTTGTTTCAGCTGGATTGTGCGTACTTACCCTACAAATTTTTTAGATTAAGTACCGACAAGTTCGTGATGAGCACATCATTTATGATTTATTGGCTAATTTGAAGAAACGCTTGAAAGGCCGTTCAGCTTTGGAATATTTCGAATTAAGCGACATTGTTGGCCGCATTGGTGGAATTGCAGTAGTTTCTGAGAGGCGTTGTATTGTCTGGCAGAGAATATGCTTAAAGGAAGTGAGTCTCAGTGCTTATTTAACTTGGATTTGATTTGAAAGAAATTGAAAATTGAAAAATTTTTTTAGTTACCATGGTTGATGGAATTAGCGTGTATGATGCCTGATGTTGCATGTGATGCTGTTCTTAATCTGATTTTACTGGCTATCCGAACATCCGAAGATTCCGATGATGAACTGTTGTGTTGTTCACTAGTCAATATACTTTTAGGAAAGCAAAAGCCATTTACATTGTTCAAAAGACTGATTACAAGGTATTTTTCTCTTTTAATTCCACCCTTCATTAGTCCAGTGTTTTAAAAAAGATGTTATTTTGATTGGATTTATGAAGAATAATTTTTTAGCATAAAGATCCGCAATTTCAAATCGTGCTTTATACTGGAAAATTTTTCATTTGTGGAAGCAAAATTCTGCCAAGCAGCTCCTGAATATGTTAGAGGGAGCACTTTGCTAAACATCATCTTTGGTCTGTCAATATTTTAGAGATGGTGTATGGCTGATTGCAGTAATAGTGATTCTGTCTTGAAGAAAAAAAACCAAATTCTGGATTAATCTTATAGAGTTTATAATTTTTATATTTGAGGTTTCTGCTGGGCGAAAATGAAGAAAGACGTTGGACACTGCATGCGATTCTGCGCGCTACATTACAACTTGCATCGCGGCCTAATCAGTTGCGACTAATTAATCATCTGTACAGACACACTTGGCCTTATGCCCAAGAAATGGGTAATCGAGCTGCGCAGCTAGTAGATCTTCTCTCTTGCTATCTACCTCGATTCTTATCAAAGTTAGTTTCGTCATCTTTATTTCTGTATAGGAAGCGTTATTTTGCAAAAGAGCTTAACTCATATATTTGAAGATGCTTATGCAAGATTTCTACAATTTTAGAAGTATCAATTTGAAGCCGAAGGTTCTATTTGTTGACCTCAGTCTTCGAAAGCAAATTTCTGAATTCAATTTTTTGATAGAATTAGAGTTAATTTTGGGATAAATGTACTCCTTCTTAATTACATTAGCCATTTATAACTTGTCTTTGAGGGATGAATTAATTACGGTTTATAAGGAAGCAGTAACAACGATCAATGACGCGCTATGCGTGTTAGAAAAAAGTCGAAGTTCGGTTCTTTTCGAAAAACTATGCGAATTTATCGGTAAGTTTTTGAGCTCTCGCATTACTTTATTTTATTTTCAAGATGTTAATATGAGGAGACCTTTCAGGATCACCAGATATTTCTGTATTGAGTAAATCTCCATGTCTGATATGTTCGGATTTGGATCACCCAATGGAACAGTTGAAATTGTCAGCAATTAAATTGGATTCTCGCTTCACTACGTCGGCTCAGATGATCAAGTTGATGGGTCACTTCGAGGTATGTATAATTTATTTCGCGAGATAGCTTATTATATATCTAAAGAAAGAATTTAGCAGTTTTTGTTAGGTCATGTTTAAAAAAGATACGAAGAGAATTTTAGACACATTAGTAAAAATAATTATAGAAAAAATCATAGGTATCACGGATCATCATACGTTTGAGCGAGATAAAAAGGTCGAAGATGGTGAAGCGCTTCAGGTTTTATTATTGCAATAAAATGCTAGAATCTGCAGTTGACCTCAAAAATCGGCCTGAACTTTGGGAGAAAGCAGCTGATGTTAAGGTTGTTTTCATCTCTTTTATATACTTAATAGCAAAGTTGTGGTGTAGATTTTTGATAGTTTTAGAAGGGATTGGTGCAATATGATTAGTTATAAAGAACTATCCATATCCTCTCATTGGTATAATTTACTATCTTTTGTTTCGTCGAGAGGGCTTCTTCTAATCCCTCTTTTTTCTGTTCGTAACTCTTCAATACTTATGATTTAATCCATAAGTCTTCATGTTACTACTGATATAGGTAGATACTAATCTCTTACTTCTTTCATGAAAAGCATGTTTGCAGATAAATCACGGAGATACCGAAATTGATGTGCAACTTCCAATCCCAGTTGTTACTTGTAATGTTGTCTTGGAAATGGCCGAATTTTATGATACAAACACAGCTGGAACTGCAGATGCGCCAGAATTCGTGCACTGCCCACGGTGTTCTACGTCAGTAGCGCCGAATCCGGGGATATGCTCAAACTGCGGCGAAAATGTTTTTCAGTGTGTGAAGTGTCGAGCAATTAATTATGATGAGAAGGTTTTTTTTTCACTGTGTTTTCCGTGAATTTCTTTGATTTTAACTGGAATTCGAATATATAGCGAATTTTTTTCTGATGTCAACATATCAGTGATTGTTGCCTGCGCTATACTTTTATCGACTATTTTTTTCAAATGGCTCAGTTACTCACTGCATGTGTGTTTTCGTTTATTCAGGAACCATTTTTATGTAATTCTTGTGGTTTTTGTAAATATGCTCGCTTGGAAGCAGTGCTCGTTGGCCGACCGTTACCTTCAGTACAGACAATTGAGGACGACAATGACCGAAAGACGGTGAGACACTCTCATTGAGTAACTTTAGCTTTTCTGGACATATTTTTTTTACCTGGATCACATGCTTACTTATTTTCCATTGCGACTCATAATTTAATCGTTTTCAGCATTTCAGTTTAGGACGTCTAGTGTATTAATTAAAAAATATACTATAGAAATATCTGCTTGTGGACAGTCAAACACACCACTCAAACGTGATCTAACAATTGATTCCTTACTAGGCCCTTTTGTCATTTTAATAAATAACTTCGGCAATTAAATCTGAGCTATCTTCAAGCTTTAAAAGTTAATAGTGAATAACAGTAATCAAATAAAAAATTTTTTCAGATATATAACCTTATGGAAACTTTACTAAACGATATCGAATCGACACGTTGTCATATTGGAATTATTGGTGCTCTTTTGGAAAGATGCTCATGGGATTCAGAACCGGCTATTCGACCAAATATGATTGTAAAACATATGACTCTGCAATTATTTTCAAATTTCATATCAAGTTTGAATTTAAAAGAGGTGAGGCTCTCATTGTATAAGATGCTCGACATTTTATTTGCTTTATTTAATATCTCTAGCAAATATTTTGACATTGACTGAAAGTTATTCCAGTTTTTTACAGGATTATACGCTTTCAACATTATATCGTAATGCAGAGAAATTACACAATAAATTATGCGAACAAACTCGTCAGTTAGCAGTATTTCGAGCAGAACTCCTTCGTTATGATATTGAAAATGGTGATGAAACGTTGCTGGACAAACCTTTTACCAATAATTTTCATTCTAACTCGTAGGTCTTTCCATGGATATTTTCGTACTTCTACTAAAGTCATATTCTCATCAATACTGTTTGCTACTATATTGTTCCTAGCTGGTGAGAGTTAGGCCTTTTGATATGCGATTTCGAATGAAGGTCACTTTTTAACTTCAAAAAAATGAAGCTTAGTTTTATTATTAAGATCTGCATCGGTATTTACAAATTATACTGCAATACTATCTGTTGCTACATAATTCATGTGCTTTATTTCAGATGCATCCATAACTTATAACCCAATTAATATTTTGAAGTACGTCAACTTTCGTTTTTATTTACATCCTACTTATTTTTAGGAAAACTGCATTTTGCAAATATTTTCAGTGATTATTGTATAGGCTGTGTATCCGCATTAATAGTACACTGTATTGCTTTAATACAAGCAACGTGTAGTGATGCAAGCGCTATGGAGGAAATTATTCGTGAAGACTTTGTTTTCGGTAAATTGGTAGGTTTTGGAGATTAGTTAAAATTAAAAAAAATGTGATTATGGCAAATTAATTTCATTTATTATTAGACATGTTTATTTTTTAGATAAAATTACGTATGTAGTTTGGTTATTATGACTAATATATACCTGATATTGAGAGATCTCTTGACTAACATCGTGGAAGAGACAAGGCTAGTGATCTGATAAAAGTGAAGGGTCGAGATTGGAGGCAAATCACTTCGATAGAAATAATAGTACATGATGATTAGTGCGTCATATATTTAATTATATCAACTCTGAAAGCGAGCGATATCTTTTTCAGTTCAAAACAAGTGGATCAGTTACTGGTTATTAGATCTTTGCTAGGTAATAAAGAAGTGAAGTAAGAGTTAAAACTAAATACATTTAATCGATCACGTTAGAATGGGCAAAGTATTCAGTCAATTAAAACAAACAATACTCTGTTTTGAAATGTTGGCAAAGATTTGGGATGGATTAAGCACAGCTTAATTCCTGGATGTATCTTTTTGTTATTGATTTTTTAGGTGACCGGGTGCGCACTTGGTAACCCAATAGCTCGTTCCATTCATAGTCTAATTTGGAATCTTTCGGAAGTAAGCAAGGAAGCGACGCAGAAAATGTGTCAGTTAGTAGAGAATGGTGTTCTTCCATGTTACTTGCTAACAAAGTCAATATTTGAAAACAAATTCCGGTATTTATTTTTATATAATAATTTTGATGTAATATAAGAGAATAGAATAAACTCATTCCACTGCTCTTCGGTGACTTCAAAGCTCAAATATTTGGTCTAGTGCTATAAACAAAGAGCCCGTGTAAGAATTTCAATAAAAAGGTGAACTTGTATAGAGCAACAGGTTATCATTTTCGGTTGATTTCTGTTTTTGCTTTGTACATCCTCATTCTGTTTGCTTGTAATTTATAACTTATATATTTGGGTTCCTTTTGCTGACATTTAATAGAGAGATATAATTTAGATTTTGGGAACAGAAATTGCGTTGCTTGATGCGAATGGTTGTGGTGGGGAATGGCAACACCGAGATGGATTTACATGCCTTAGCTGTGTTTTTAAAAATTTGCTCACCGTATTCAACAAATCCAAAAAATTCGAATTCATCTGATTTCAGCGCGGATAAAGGAAGAAACGGTAGTACTCTTACCGATAATATTTTTTGGTATATGACAAATTTTTTTAATGTAATGCAAGACTTATTTTGTAATATTATATACTGTTCATCATGTTGTATAAAAAAAAAAACTCTATCAGGTTATCTTTTACCTGCACACGAAGAACAGCAGTCAAAGATAGTTTTAGGTGCCTCGCGAAATATTGGTCTAGAAGATAATGGTAAAGAAAATGAACAAGTGGAAGCCGAACAGGTCTGATCATTTTTCGTTCTGCTAAAGTACATATTGTTTAAAAATTGACAAGAAATTGCTTGAAAATCATGTATAAATATTAGATAGAAATTTTATGAATTAAATATGTGGATTTTTATGATGACAACAACTGAGCAATTGTGATAGAAATAGCTTTTTTCGTTGATGATGGAGTTGAGTTAAAGAGAACAGCTCTGCATAAGTTACGCTTTATAGAACCTTGTTCTGGATGAAACTATTTTGCATAAAATCATGGAAGATATGAAAATATTAGACGAAGAAGAATCTGATTTCGATAAATTACTTATACCTTCTGAACGATTTCCAACGACTGCATGGCTGCAAGGAAGGTATGGGGAAGATTAATCTTTTGATTATTGGTGTTTCATAAAATAAAAACAATTTTCTGGGTTATGTTTAGACCTCTCTTTTTTTAGGAGTAATTTATTCCCCCAAAGCTTTTAAGATGAAAATGATGAAAATTTATAGATTTATTTGGGCTGAGTATACAGAATTGCTGCAAAACGATGGCCCAGAAAGAGAACGCAGCATTCTTCAGTACTTAAAGCACTGCACTGAAAGTGACCCGAAGCGGAAATTTGTCAGTTTACGCAGTTTCCATTGCTTATTTTTTAGTGTGACGTTCAGTTTTTCTAATTTTTTTTTCTAAAAAAGCTGTTTTTGACTTAGCCAGAAAGTATTCTTCTCTTGCTTCATTTTTTAGAATCTACCGATTTGAAGATTAATTCAGCATACCCTCTGAAAATGCCTTCTCAAAAATCATTAGGTTTTTTTGAAACATATATGAAGTGTGTTAAGCAAATTTTCTATTTTGCAAGTATGATTCGAAATGATTACTTCCCTTGCGGAACATTTAATGAAAATTTGTTTTTGTACCTAAATTGTTTCAAATAGCTGAACACATATAGCACTGTTTCAAACTTTGTAGTCACTACACCATTGGCTTGCTCGTTGCATGTTTTCATCGGTCGCAGCAATTCGTACTGCAACCTGTCGTTTGCTTGTGATGCTGTGCTTTGAAATCAACAGCGATGGCGAAGCACAAATCGGATCGCCTGTGGACGCAGCGCTAGTATTGCAAAAGTAAGTTTTTTTTTTCTACTAATTGTTAGCTTGTGGCAGAATTTTTTTGATTATCGAGTATTAATTAGTTTGAAAAGAGAAATTTTGAATTAAGGAAATATTACTTTTTCTAGCATATGACCTCGGAACTGGTAAATTTTAAAGATTTAATTCTAATTTAAATGTGCACGCTACAGCAGTATTACTGAAAATTTTCAGCTAGTGTCAAAGAAATTTGATGTTATTGAAATCTGAAAATCGAATTAAAAAAGATGTTTTCTTTTCCACTAGTAATAACTTCTTGAGTTTCAACCGGAAGCTTATTCAGGTTATTATTATGGATGAGAAAAATTCGGAACGTCTCCGCTGATAATATTGACGAATATTTTTGTTTGGTGCGAACTCTACTAACAGCAAGTGAAATTCACACCGTCCTAGTGTCGAAACCAATTGAATTCCATGTTGATGTTGTGAAGCGAATTTTGCTGGTGTGTCGTGGTTTCTTTCTCCTGTTTGCTGTAAAGAAGTTATTGTATGTCAGGAATGCGGAATTTGTATCAGTGTATTTAATAGGTTGTTTAATAATGCTAGTCTTACTTAATTTTGTGAAGCAGTTTTTACTGTTGTTCTTTATAATTGTTTACAGGCAAGTTTGGATATACGCTTACGTGAAGTAAGTGGGCCACCAGGAGATCTTTCAACAGGAATTCTGTTGCACCATCTTATTCGTAAGTTATCTTCACTTGGTTACAGTGCAAAGAAATGTATTGCTTTCTAGAATGTCTATGTAATTGCTTTCCATTAAGGCAAATAAATACGGAATTAAGTAGTGCCTATTAATTCGTTAAATTACTTTTAATTTATTGAAGCAGTGAAGCAGATTCATATAGTTTCAAACGTTTAAACCACTCTGGAGCGAATGGTGTAAAAGGATTGTATGTGACAGATGACTCGATCCGTCGCACTGAATGAACGTCCCTACTGCTTCCTGCTAGTGGTTTTTATGATGTTCCCTAACTGATAGATTGTTTCAGATCTATTAAATTGTATGATGCAAATGGATAAGCAAGGTTGGGATTTGTTATATGAATCTAGTCCTGTTATACTTCCATTTCTGCTTCGAGCTGCTTGCGCACTCAAACAAGTTACTGTTCATCGTACCTTGTAAGTTTATACTGTCTTGGCTAACATTTATATTAGAAATTCAGTGTCACCAAGGTGTTTTAAGAGGATAAACACAGCAAATGACAATGTTATATTTCTAGTTATGTGAACGAATCTGTCAAAGATCTTAGTATGCTGCTGATGCGCATTGCACTGAAACGTCCAATCTTAGTGCTGAAGGAGGCTACGTTACGCATTGGAGCTCATTCGCAGGAGTTGCGCATACAAGCTTATCTTTTATCAATTATCAGCGATATTATTTATCCATTACTGAAGAAAGAAGAAGATTTTCTAATACAAATTGAGAAGGATCCACTCCAGGAAGATTACCTGCAAGGCAGAATGTTGGGCAATCCATACAAAAGCAGTGATGCTGGCATAGGTCCTCTTATGAGGGATATCAAAAATAAAATTTGCCGAGACTGTGAACTGGTCGCACTGCTGGATGACGATACTGGAATGGAGGTATCCTTTTAACATCAAATTCTTTTTTGCTTTGCTTATAAATGAAATGTTGGTGGTTGGCTATACCTTACTTACTCTCTTAGTTTGCTTCATCACTCGAAATATTTCTTGCCTATCAATATTCGCTGACACATGGTAGCAACAATAAATTGGGATAAAACGAAGAGAGCAGAGAAAAAATTAGTGTTAAACCCTAAGAGCAAAATTTAAACATTAAATATTTTATAATTTGCTTCAATTATTTTTGAGCAGTATTAATCCTTCTTACCTTTTTCTTTCATTTTTTAGCTTCTCGTAAATCAGCAGATTATTGCCCTGGACTTATCGGTTAGCGATGTTTATGAAAAATTGTGGCGTTCTGATCATCATGGTCAACCGATGGTAATCGTGTATCGGATGAGAGGTCTTCTTGGTGACGCAACAGAACCCTTCATAAAAACACTGATCGGCACGAATGGTAACTTCAACAATTTAGGCAGTTAATTTGCCTTCTATTTTCCAATTACCTTTGTGAACAAAGAATATTATTGGCTTCAAAGAAGTGAGAAAAAAGATAAATTTAGCTCCAGTGCATTTTTTGCGAGCCAGGAATAGATCTTAAACACGCGTTTATATTTATAAAATCTTGTTAATTTTTTTACGAAAGTAGAAATAGTTTGTCAGAAGACTCATTTATATTAGTTTACTGAAAAATAATTTTAGTTAAAGAGAAAGTGGATGATAGTCAGCTTCGTCTGGCTAGTGCGTTAGGTTCTCCGATACGTGCCTTTGCAATTATTTTACCGATACTGGACAACATTGAACTTACTGGAGGAGGCATAATATTGTTGCGAGAGCTACATCGATTACTCACTTATTGCATAAAGGTATACATTTTTGAGAAAGTAAATGCATAGAAACTGATCAGAAAAATAATCCTAAGGAAAACTTTTTAAGGTCGAGGGAAATCGTGAGCAACTGAATGAATATGGCGGAATCCGAAGGTTTTTGCATGTTTTTGAAGTGGCTTACAGAAGCGGTATTAAAGAAAAATCGATTGAAGCTATAGCTTTGCAGTATTTGGAACTGAGCAGGATTCTCTTGGTTGATGTTCTCGCCACTGATCGAGTCGAAAAGGTGTGTTTTTTATAGTTTGCTTTTATAGTTATATTTATATTACATTGCAGTCCATTGGTGGCGCAAGTTTCGAACAGATGTCATGGTTACTTGAACTTTCAATGGGCAGCGATGAAGAACTTTCATCATCATTGCTGGAAGCAGTGACATCTATTGCACCAAACCTTTGTCTCGGTAATGCAGAAAGTATGGATGCTTTGATCGAAATATTTCGGCCATGTTGTCACTGGGATGAGATTGGTTTGTTCTTCATTATTTTGTCATAATATGTAAGTTTCACATTTTTATGAAATTGGATGAGTTGATGCAAACCCGGAGTCATTTATTTGCTGCATTATATCTGTTTACTACGTATAGCATTATAAATAGCCTTCTCTTAAATGACTCATGCAGAACGCGAAATGCTGATCACCATTTCGATTAATTTGATTTCCTTTGATTTAAAAAACTGTTATAAAATTACCAAAAAATGTTTTTCGAAAAGAATGAGTCAATATTACAGATAACGATCGAACAGTTCGAGATCGAGTGGTACAGAAGGTAGAAACATTGTGCAAAATTACGAGTGCCATTCATGATAGCGCATCTGGACGGATTCTCAAAAAGAAAATGATGGATGCTGGACTGATTGCAGATGCATGTAGATATCTTGCAGAGAATCATCCGCCCATATTCAATGTGTCTGTAACGGGACCTGAATGGAAATATTTTTTATCAAAGCCTTCATTAAAATATGTCCTAAAACTAATGGCTGGTATGGCACGTGCTCATAAACCTTCGCAGGTTTTGCTTTTTTTGGAATTTTTCGTTGTACAAAAAATGTCCCTGTATTATTTGTTTGCTGCGTTGGTGTATAACTTTTTTTCAAGTTACTGTCTACAGGTTGACATATAGCTCTTTATGATTGAATCATTTACTGTTATCAGTCATTTTTCTTCAACATTATTATTGCTTTGATGTTTTAATAGTGGATAACGGATTTGGTAGGTTATGGCTATAGAACAAAAAATGAAAGCTTTTTTGATTTCCATTATTTGTACCATATGTACAAAATATTATCTTAGTCATTTGTTTGAAGAACTTTGCTATTTTATTACATTTCTCTCAGAATAAGCTGTCGTAAGTGTATTCTGACAAAGATTCGACGGAAGGCCTCCTAGCAAACAACTTTCTAATTAAAAAGGGCAAAAATTAATAGTATGCTGCTTTTCTAGCAGTTACTTCTAAAAGTGCAAACAGGAGAGATCCTCTGAATCACTTTTACATACGTTTGAAGATCCCATACAGAACTGTGCTTTACCCACTTAATTAAATTTATGTTACTATGACGTTATTTTTCAGGAAGCAATTGCTGAAAATTCGTTGCCTATATTGCATCGTTTGGAACAAATTTCATCAGCTGAACATATTGGAACATTGGCTGAAAATGTGATGGAGGAGTTGAAGAAGAATGATCAAGTTGCTGTGCAGGTGATTTGTCAGATTTAAAATGTGATAAGTTGAAATTTCGAAATATTAAGATTTATTCGTTGCTTTGCAAGTTTTAAAGTTGAATAAGGCGTCACAATCAATTATGATTGAAGATTGAAAAAGTTCGTCAAGAAACGAAAATAAAGAAACGCCAGTTGGCAATGGCCATGAGACAAAAACAGCTTTCGAAAATGGGTATGGAAATCGGTAAAAAAGGACAGGTGAAGGTAAGTTACTTTGCATTTGTTTAATAGGAATTACAATTGCGCCATATTCTTTCGTACTGTGTGGTTTTTTAGCATTATTGGCAGATCCAGAAATATTGGTAGCTGTGGAATTCTTCAAGTTATGAATTAAAAAACGCTGCATGGAGGACAGGATTGATTAGCCATCGCTGTAAAATAAAACTGAAAAAGTTAATTAGTTTAGAAGGTTCTTACCCGAGAGGTAATATTTTTTCCAGGTATCAGCTCACAAACTGGTCATTGAATCGCATTCAGTGGAGAGTGTATCAGATGCTGGTATTTGTTGCATATGCCGGGAGGCAATGGATGCTAGCGCAAAGATCATGATGGTCAGTTTGCTTTAGTTTTGAAATGATTTTGTTGCTCAGACTATTTGTTTTCCATTATGGTTTTATATCGAAGTATTTTTATTTGCTTTGAATTATATGAGTTACATTTCAGTGAGAGAACTGATTTATACTTGAAAGTAGATATGGAAAGCAAGACATTTCTGTCATCTTTATTCAGTATTTACTTACGGTGTGTCTAAGTATCTAAAACATTCTGAAGAACTATATTGTGAATTTTTCTAATACCTTATTTACGGTAGAATGTGGAATTTGCTAGCAACAGTTGGATTCACCTATTCAGCAAAACGTGGACATGATTTGAATAAAGATGATTCCCTATATAAGCAGATATTAGTTTTAGTAGTTAAAAGATTTTTGACTTTTAAATTGCCTTGAATTTTTTCAAATTTAATCTTTTTTTTTCATTATTTTTTGTTTTCCTTTTTCTACCGTTTCATTTTTATCCGTGTCTTTCTTTTTGTCACCTACGATTTTGTTTTCCTTCTTAGGTATATGCATTTGCAAGCCGATTGAATCTGAAAGAGAACAAAGTAATTAACGGTCGGAATTATTCGTTTACAACAGTGTCACAAATGAATTTGGTTCATCTGGATTGTCATTCCATAGCTGTCAGGTATTTCTACGATTCTTCAACTATTACAGTACTTCTTGGTATGTCGTAATAGAATTGAATTTCTTGGTAGGATCTTTTTTTCTCTTTGAAGATGTTTATTTTTTTAAAGAGTGGCTGGTTCACGAAGCGAATGGACAAGCGCAGCACTGCATAATGCCAATACGAAGTGTAATGTTATCATGCCGATTTGGTCAAAGCGAGTGAAAGATTCAGATATGGAGCACTCTTTCCAAAGGTATTTTTGAATTTGTAGATGTCAAATGGTCTGCTATGGGGACTTACGATATCTGGATCTGTCATTTTTGTGCACGTCGTCAAGTGTGAGTAATAAAGGCTAACAATGTCGGAGTTAAATATGTTGCAAGTTTCCTGTGAATTAAGAAAACATAGCAGCATGTTGATCAAACAACCCGGATTAGATTTTATCTAGAACATCCATAAATAATGTCTTTGAAGTCTTTCAAGCATAGTTGCTTCGCCACTTATGGACATCGAACATCTGTTATTAGACTTCTTATTTACACTTGCAAAGCCTTCTCGCAAATTGTTTCTTGTGCATTGAATATCTGTTTGAGTAAATTGAAATTTTCATTAATTCTTTCAGATTATCAACTGATCTAGAAGTAGCTGTTGATTGTGATACAGTAAATTTGGATACTCTCACGCTAGATATAGCAGAATTGTTGGATCGCTTTGTGAAATTCCGTTCATTTTCTGCTCTTTCTCATGGTGGCGGTCGTGAATCAAATATGCAGTACATGGCTGTTTTAATTCTTCTAGCAAAATATTTGAAAAAAGTGTCACCATCTTCTGAACCTGGGGAAGCTCATTCATTTATTCATCAGATCAGTATCAGGTTGGTGATGGACACTGCGGAGCAGTGGAATGAAAAAAGATTGGATTTGTTAAAAAGTTGTCAACAGTCTAAGCGATCTTGGAAGGAGGCGAAGCATGAATTGTTTGTCTGGACAGTCGTTGATTATTATCAAAATAAAATTCTTCAGGTAATTTTTGCACTAAATTCTGGGGAATGAAGTCCGCAAGAACCGAAAACGTTATCTGTAAAGTTGGATTATAAATACTAAAGGTGCTCCAATTTTCAATCCGTGAGGAGGAAAATTCTGATTATCTTCGAAATTTCATTCATAAAAGAGAAAAATGGAACATCTTCGAAAATAGTAACATTTTATTCACGTTTCAGTGCAGAACTGATGATCGCGCTCAATACATGCGTGAAAATATAATTAAAATTATGGAGAATTGTTCCAAGTTTGTTAGTTACTTTGACTCGGAACTTTCACAATGTGGAAGTTATGAGGAATTAATGAAAGCAGTTGGTAAGCATTGACAATATTTTATGGAATGGAACGTGAATAATCTATCGTGTTTAATTGTCCATGTTAATTTCCATGTTATGTTATAACATCAGAGGATGTGACCAGAATTTCAAACAAGCTGAAGGAATCTCATGTATAAAGAAAATATAGGTCAGGCGGTCCAAATATGACCGGAACTTTTTGACAGTTGCTAACTTTTTTCAGAAGGCCTGTACATTACTACAACACCAGTGGTATAAGCATGACCGATTAGTGAGGAATGAATAACACTATGGTTTTTTAAATGATTTTAACTAAATTTCACTGTTTTCAGATATCGATGCTAACAGTGTTATTCCTGAATAAGAAAATTTTTTGCAACAGCTGATGTTGATCTGTCCTTTCACTCATCTTGCTCAGCTGACTGACATTGAATAATTGTGTATGAATTTAATGTTTTAAATAGGAATTATTGAAAACGAAAATTCACCATTAAGTCTGGAAGTCCAAAATTGTCACTCAATACAACGCAGCTAACAGCATATTTACTTAATCAGTGATCCTTCTAATACGGGCTTTGATTCATTTTTGTACACATATGATCATAACTTCTGCTTTAAAGACATCGCACTCAGAACCTATTCGAAATGTCATGTATCTCCTAATTGCTCTTTCCTTAATGATTGTATAATTTTTATCCGGTATTGCAATGGTTATCGAATAAACAGGTAATATCCATATATGAGTTTAATATTTTTTGTCTCTTTTTGGTTCCATTTAGCGTTAAAATTTTTAGAATGTGAAAGTCACTGGTAAAAATAACTTTGGTGAGAATCTTTAATTAAAAAACGAATAGCAAAATTTAACAGAAGAGGTTATAAATTCGGGAAGGATCATAACCGCTGCTTTTAAATAAATCAATTGTCTATGTATGTTTCGTGTAAACATTTGTACTTCTCGAAGTTTTTACGAAATAAATTATTTTCGTTTTTGAAGTGGTGCAAGATTCATTGGCTACCATTTTGTCAAGGGTTCGGTTAGGCAAGATTTATCAGTAGGCATATTTTTCATAAAATTAAAATACGAAGCTTTCATAACTTGGCCATTCCGAATTATGAAAGCATATATATATATATA